TTGTGTGATTTTCTCAACCCTATAAAATCTGTTTCAACTTATGGGTGCGATATGTTTATTCCTAGGTTGAAAATGAGTAGCAAATAGAGAATAAAAGATCGCCTCTGGATGATCATTGAACGAAAACGCATATGTAGAAGAAAGCTTATGGTTTATGTGCCGCAATACAAAATTTAGTAACTATGTGTTGGTCACAGTATACAAACATTTGAATTAGGAAATTTAAAAAAAAAGTGAAAAAAAGTATCCGTGATTTTGAAAAAAGTTAGCACTGAATTTTAAACTAAATCCTAAATCGGTATATGCACATATTAACAGCAAAAATTCTACAAAGAAATCAATAAAAGCATTATATTGGACTGATGGCACTCAAGGAGCAAGTGAACAAACTACTACAGATGGTGCTATAATAGCGAGTACATTGAATAAGTATCTCGTCTCAATTTTCACGAAGGAAGTTCAACAAACATTCCAAAAATTAGCGATAAAGTTAATTTTGAATGCCCGAATCCAATATTTACAGAAGCAATTATTAAATTTCATATCAACAAACTTGATGAAAAAAAAACTGTAGGAGTAGGCAAAGTTCACCCGAAAGTTCTCAAAATGTGTTCTAAATCACTTTGCAAGTTTTTATCAATATTATTTAACAAGTCTTTTAAATCAAGTGTTATTCCGAACCTTTATAAAAAGCACATATTATATCCCTGATTAAAAAGGGAAGCAAACATGAACCATCTAGTTATTGTCTAACTTCGCTTACTTCGGTTGTATGCAAGTTAATGGAGCGTATTATACGTGATGAGATAACAAAACATTTAGTAGTGCACAATTTGATATTTAAACAACAAAATTGCACTACCAATTTGCTTGAATCAATTGATTTAAATACAAAAGCACTTGCAAATGGATACAATATAGATATGTAATTATTAGATTTTGCAAAAGCATTTGACTCTATATAATAAACAAATTATTATTGTGGCGTAAAGGTTTTTAAAGCCAAAGATTGCAAAGAGTAATAGTTGGAGAATTTGTGTCAGAATGGGAGAAAACAGTTTTAGGTCTACTATTCTTCGTGGTAATTATAAACGATTTGACAATTAAAATCAAAAATGAAGACAAACTATTTGCTGACGATACTAAACTATTAGCAGTCATTAAATCGGATTCAGATAACATCAGTTTACAAAAGGATCTCAATATTTTAAAAGAATGGACAGGGAACTGGTAAATAAAATTTAACTCGCAAAAATGTAAAGTAATGTATTTCGGAAATAACAACCCTAAATATAAATATAAAATTGATAAAGTTATACTAGATGAAGCAAAAGTTGAAAAAGATCTTGGTATTTTAATCTCGAATGATTTTGATTGGAGTCCCCATATATGCTATGTGATTTATAAAGCAAATAAACAAATAGGAAGAATTAAACATGCGTTTGAATATATAGATGAAAGTATTATTAACTTATTATACAAATTATTAGTTCGTCCCCATCTCAAACATGGAGCAGTTATTTGGAATCCCTACTGGAGATGAGAAATTTATAGACTTGAAAATGTTGAAAATAGAGCGACCAAAGTATCATGTCTGGTTAGTTATGGTCATAAAAAAAAAATTTAAATCTAAAATTGCCTTCATAAAAACCGTAAAAAAGGCAGGGTGATTTAATCCAAATAAATACTTTAAATTTTTACCTCAAATCTCAGATCTTGTAAATTGTTTTTATTCCTTGTTAAACTTTTTGGCTGTTACAGACTGAAATTATACTTAATTTCAGTTTTAACTCTTATGAGTTACAGCGTCATTTCTATAAATTCTATAAACTTCTTTCATGTGGGAAATTATTAGAAACTTTTCCGCATTAGTTTTGCGCTCCGACGGTAGAATGTTCATTTTCTTTATAAGTTATTCAGACATTTTCTTGAATTTTTTTTTGTTGCTCGGTATATGTAGAGGGGATTGTATTACAACAGCATTTTTTGCAGATAGTTTTAAGAGTGGAATACGCAAGTCATGAAAAATTTCATAAAAAATCTCTATATTTAAAAAAACTCTTTGAAAATTATATAAGAGCATCGATTTCATAGTTTATCTGAAATATTTTTAATAAAATGTACACATTTCTTCAGTTCTTTTTTGGTCGTACATGGGTTCAAAGAATCTTTAAACTGAGCATACATTCGAATATGACCATCACAATTGCGCTTAAGCATAGAATTTGTTTCAAAATGCATTGCTCCACGAAGCAAGCCACCGCCTAAATCTTCTGTAATAGTCACTATGTCTTTGTTATTATGTTATTAACGTTTGTTGTGACATCTTTGCCTAATATTGTACTTCACTTTTGAATAGAGCTGAAGAAAATGGTATTTTTTTTTTCCTTTTTATTCCACTCTTAATTGCGCTATATATTTTATTAAGCTGAATCTTTGATCTATTAATTTCTTCTCTAATTGATTTTGAAGAGATTTTATAGCAAAATCTTTTATAGCTATTTCAGCAAGGAGGATACTTCTTTCTTTTTCAAGACTTGTAATTTTATTTTCCTTGATTTTTGAATTAGTAGTAATAGTTTTAATTGTCTCCGTTAAAACTTAGTTTTTCAAAAGAGGAGAGTTTTTTTGATTTTGATAAGGTACTTATAGTCTGTTGAAGTTTTCTTTTGAGAGATTTTACTTTTTTTTACATTAAACTAATTTGTTTCAGCGTCCCTAAAGTTGTTGGAATTTAACTTTATCATAGCTGCATCAGAATAGGGAAACAAATTTTGAAGTGATGTTCTGTAAGCAAGAGTCATAAATTGAACTGAAAAATAATTTTGCAAAGATTAAAAGTAAGATCAAGAAATTTCACCATTTTTTAGTTTGTGTTCATTTCAATTTGGAAGCCAATTTTATTTTTTTTTCCGATTTTTTCAAGTTGAGGTCCTGATTTATTTGCAATATTTTTAAACCATCACACAGGCCTAATTGATTGGATTAAATTATTTATGCTTGGGAATTTAAAATATATAGGCCTACAAATTTGCGAATTTCTGCAACGTCGTAGCTTCCCATTGATACATCAAAGTATTCGTGCGAAATTTTTTTCTTCCACGTCCCTTTTTATAATAGAGTAAAGTTTTTCTGCATTGTTTAATTAGATAAATAGTCTAATGTTTTATTTTTAATACCAATTTAGTTTAACTAATAAAATAAACAAATGCATACTTATAAAAAAAACTACTTTATTTGTAAATTATATTTACATTTGCGAGCATATATTACTTTTACGTAATAGATATATTATATGAAATAACGTAATAGATTATATAAAATTTTTAAAAATCATGATACTTAATTCGTGCAAAATGTATTTTTTTGGTAACTTTTGATTGAATAAAATAATGGTTTATTTTAACATTAACTATTAATATAAGTTTTAACTGAATTAAGTCGAAAGCAAAAAAATAAATGAAAAATAAAAAGAAGGGTGAAAAGAAAAAGTACACTGTATACTTAAAAAATAAAAAAGTAAGTAAGTAAAGTACTAAACCCAGGGGCGTTAGCAGGAAGTTTTTGGGTAAGTCCAAAAGAAAACTATGCCCCTTCCGTTTCCCTACTTTTTTAGGTGGGGAGGGGGGTACCGGATTGAGTCTATTTTATAAAAATGTTTTAATAATTCTTTAAATTCTTTAAAACAATGTTTTAATAATTCTTCAAATTTTCAAATTCTTAAATTGACTTGTAACATTGATATTTTATCAATAAAGCTCAAAACATGATTTTTGCAAAGGGACCGTCCATAAAGTACGTACGCTCGGAGAGGAGGTCTGCAAATGGCGTTTCTGAGATAAGGGGGCAGTAGGTCAATTTTAAAAGTATGGAGACACTAAATTGAAAAAAATATCATAAAAATGTTAGGTTAGTAGGTTAAAAGCGTAGGTACTTTTAGGGAGATAGAGAGTCAAAAAAGGGTACGACAAATTGCGGGGGGGGGGGGGGTTGGCGATAAAAGCGTACGTACTTTATGGACGACCCCAAACTAAAATAATTTATTATTTTTTAAAAATACTCGGTCGTCGTAATGTATAATATATACAGGTTATAATTTTTTAAATACAAGATTTTGCTGTGTAAATTTTTTTATATAACTTTTTAAATAACTTTTAATTATAAATAAACTTTATAAATACTTGGAGTCAAAAAACATATTGTAATAACTGTACAATGCTAAATAATGTTTTTACAAAGATGTCTGGCTATGAAAAGAGCTGTTTAACAAATAGAAACTAATTTTTTGAAGTTATACTTTTATTATATTTGAATTTAATGTTGTATTTATAACATACTTGTTTACTATCTAGACTAAAAGCTAAACTAAACCATTTAGACTTTATCTGTCATTTTGCTTTGCAACTTTTACTTACTATTCTTTTATAACCTTTTAGGCGTTTCAGTAAAGAAAAGGTTTATTGCTTGTAATGTTTTTAGGCGTCTCAGTAAAAAAATGGTTTGCTGCTTGTAATGTTTTTAGGCGTCTTAGTAAAAAAAAGGTTTTCCAGACAGTAAGGATATAATGGTCGAACACTGGTCCAGTAGAGGCTGCCGCGCTGGACCGGCTTCGGCTGCCGACGCTGGCAAAGCTCCGTTTTGCTCTAAGGATTTTTCATGGACCAGCCGTGGCTAGCTAGCGATGGCAAAACAACGGCTAGCCAGTGCGAGACAAGAACTGGAAGAACAACGATTAGCCATTTTTACATTCCATCGTATTTTACCGTACCATCGTGATTATGTCTTAGTTAACTAACTGGGTCGCGCATGGGATTGTTATGGATTTTCATCGGGCAATCCTATTTGAAGTTCCTATATTTAAAGTTGTTTTTCGCATAATCGAATGTAATTCTTTGGCTTGATATTGGCGTATTTTTCATTAGTTTAAGAATAATAAAATGTATTAAACACGTGATTATTAACAATTTTAATTATTATGAATAAATTTGAAAAACAGGTTAAAATTTTAAAATATATTTACGCAATTATAATACAAAGATTTGATTGATAAAAATTCGACAATGGTGTTTTTCTGCGATTCATATCTAATCGTCAACATGATTTGTTATAAAGTTCTGCTTCAATTTGTAACGTTATTGTCTTCTTTAGTACTTGCATCCATTTTAACTTTAATAAAATAAAAACAAACATAAGCACAACTTAATAATTTATTAAATATATACTTATACAATATAGTAATAACATATATACAAAATGGTCACAACTTATAAACAACATGGTTATCATGTTACAATAACAATTATTTTTATTATTGACAAAAAGTTTAATCCATTAACAACAAACCATAGTTACATAGAATTGATTTAAGGATCTTTTTATATTTTTGTAAACTAGAATTTAATGAATATCACAATGAAAATTTACAATTACAACCAAATGCATGATACTTATAAATATATTTATTAAAACACGTGGTACTTGGATTGTTATGGACCAAAACTCCATCTTGTAAAATTAAATTAAATATCATGAAATGTCAAATCTTGAGATTTGACATTTCATGGTATTTAATTTAATTCACAGCAGATTCTAAATAAAGTATATGACACACAATTTATCATTTTATTGTAAATAGATAACTTTAAAATGTTCCCACAGTATATTTATAATTTAAATCATCTTAAACATTTTTTTTATTTAAAATTTGTGAAGGTAGTTCTTGATGACAAGATCTTATGACTTTCTGTGAGTATCTGCGTTCTTATTGTAAAGTCAATAAAATTTGTAAGTCTTATTGTATGTATTTTATTCATTTTTTTATTGTAAAAGTTATTTTGAATAAACAAAAAATAAATAAAAATTAAAAAAAAAATCTAAAATGCCTCTCAATCTTCCTAAATATTTTTATACACAGAAACTATTTTATAAATCTAGTCATTAGTAATAGTAAAAATAAGGGAAAAAAACTTTTCCATCACTTAAACACTGAAAACAGAAATATTAACTTATTTGATTAAGAGTAAACTTACCAGACTTAGATGAGCCATTTAACTTGAGATTTGGCATTTTTGTGTCAACATTACGTTTATTGCCATAGCTTCATTAATATTTGCTACATTTATGTGGTGGCACATTAATCATCACAACAAACTCTGAAAACAAAACATTAATATTATTAAATCTAATAATTAGATTTTTTTATATAAAATAACAAAATAAGAAAAGGCAAAGGAATGGAGTTTTATTATCACAGTTGCAGAAAGTTTGGAGCATACATACTAAAACGAAATATATAAAAATATATGCTACATACTAAAACAAAAATCAGGTCAATAGCATCATTATTGGCAATTCTTTATAACTTTTAATAAAAGCGTTTTAAAAATGAAATTTTAGAGAAAAAATGACTTTGGAAGTTTGACATTAGGGCAAATCAAACACTTCTTGAAATTTTTAGATAAAAGAAATATAACATTAATAGTAAACCATTATTTAGACCTCACCTTGAATATTGATCACCATTAAGGAGTTTACATTGCGGAAACATGTTATTATGATTGAACAACTCCAACATAGAGCAATTCGTGTTTATAATTTAAAAGATTTATCATGTAAAAACTCACAGATAAACCTTTATCTCCACATTAAAAATTAGATGATCAAGAGGTGATGTGATATAACTATACAGAACTATAAATGACTTGGATGTATTAAATTGGCATAATGCACCAATATATATAAAAAATTCTATTACGAAAGACAAGAATAAATTATATATAACAACAATCCAAAAAATTAAACGGTCAACATTATTTTTTCATAAATAGAATAGCTGACTAATAAAATCATTTATAACTAGAAGTTGTGAAAGCAAATAACTTAGTTATATTTTTAACATTCTACAATAAATATATAAAAAACTGTGAAAAGCTGTTAAAGTCTGGCACCTACTTTTGTTAAACTATACACTAATAATATCTATTTCAACTTTGTTTGTTTATTTATTGTATATATAAGTAAAAAAATTAGCAAATTTATTTGAAAAAATTTTTAAATAACAAATAAACTCCTAGAAAAAATATAAAAAAAAATTCTTCAATATATTTTAATTAAAACACTTATATGTTTAAATATAGATATATAGACTTGGTAAATTTTCCTATTTAGTGCTTCATATGTTAGTAATACTTAGGTACCCATTTTTTGACTTCAAAAATTTTGCATAGCACAATAACATTCTTATACTAAATTTATAAAAAAATAAAAAAATTTAAAAAAATTTAAAAAAAGATAAATGTGTTAACAACAATCAAATTATAATACAGAAAAGTTATGAATATGAAAACAAAAAGATAATAAAATAAAGCTAAATTGTTTAAGTAATCTACCCAATAGTATACATACATTTCATATATTTCCTTTCGAAAGGAAATATATAAAATGTATGTAAAACTGGTTTAAGAAACTTAAATCCTAAGTTAATTAAAAAACATAAAACCTAATTTATGGTAACTGAAGAATGATTGATATTGTTTAAAAAAACTGATAGAAATGTTGGTTTGGAAATTTAGGAAATTTGGAAATGATAGGAAATTTCCTATCAAACCAATATTTTTATCAGTTTTTTACCATAAATTAGGTTTTATGTTTCTTTAATTAACTTAGGATTTAAGTTTCTTAAACCAGTTTTACATACATTTTATATATTTCCTTGGTTTGCTTGGTGAAAAAATAATAATTTAAAGATTAAACCAATTTAATGGTAAATGATTGGGCGGAGGTGTACAGGGCCGGCGCGAGTAGGTGTCGCGTGGGGGGTGCCATTACAACTTTTGCCGACTAAAAAAAAAAAAAAAAAAAAAGGTCCTCGTTTTCCAAAATTTGCCGACTGTCATGACGACATTTACCGACTGTCTAATCGAAAGGGTCGACATTTGCCGACTGACTAGTCTAAACCGGTCCAATTTCCCGACTAAGTGTCCAGTTCGCTGACTAAAAATCATTGATGGGGGGGGGGGAGTGTCACACCCCCCTATCGCGCCGGCCTTGGAGGTGTATTTGATTCACTTGTGATTAAAACGATGATTTATTTTAGCCATTTTTTAATTGAAATTAACTAAGAAATGCCACCCTTTCCTTACCCCGTGAATCAATAACACCTCCGCCAATGTTTGATGTAAACAATGTAAATATATTATTACCATTATGTTATTTGTAGTGTAACAACATATCAAGGATGTGTTGTTACACTATTATGGGATGTGACATCCCATACGAAACTTTATTTAACAAAAGAATTCATTGCAATAATTTATTTAGAAATTATTTAAAAAGCATAAATTTCTTTTTATAAATATAAATTTATTGAGAAATTTTTTTAGAAATTTATTTAGAAAATTTTATTTAGAAATTATTTAAAAAGCATAAATTTCTTTTTATAAGTATCAATTTTGCCACGTTTTTATTAGCTCGCTTTCTTGTTTGTGTGTTTGTCCGGGTGGAATTTTGCAACTCAATTTTAACCCACTTTTCGATTAGCTAGAGCTCTAAAACTTTTACTATAGCTCAGAACCCGATGATAATGCAATATTATACTACTTTTACCATGATTTGCCGAGTTTCTTGAATAATTTCAGCAAAATAAAATTTATTATGGCGAAACTTTTGGAGGCGTCGCCGCAATTTGACGCGTCGCTTTAAAAAAAAATTTTCGAACAAATAAACCAAATTTAACTGTCGCTGTAATTTTAAATGGGCCGCAGCAAAATCAGTTGTTTACAAAATATAAAATTCCACCCATCAAAAACTAAAAAGAAGAAAATAATATAACAAATAAAAAAACTTTTTATAAAACCACGTTTTTGTAATGAACTAAAAAGTAGAAAATAATTTTCTCTTGAGGCTATAGAAGTTTTTGAAAATTAACTCTTAATAATTACGATAATATTTGTAAAGTTTTAAACGAAAAACTTGGTGCGCATTTAACGAAAAAAAAGAACAGAAGAAGGAAGCAATAGTTAAAGTGATTAAGGACGATGATGATCATTTAAAGTGACAAGATGCGCACCACGTTTTTCGTTTAAAACTTTACAAATATTATCGTAATTATTAAGAGTTCATAATCAAAAGTTTTCATGTCACTTACTATCGACTCAATTAATTTTCAAAAATTTCTATAGCCACAAGAGAAAATTATTTTCTACTTTTTAGTTCATTACAAAAACGTGGTTTTATAAAAAGTTTTTTTATTTGTTATATTATTTAAAATTTATTTAGAAATTATTATGTACGCAATATAGAATCACCTTTATAAGTAATTTTTTAAACAATAAAGTTTTAAGATATATTGATATGAAAAGTGACTTTCAAGATGGATGCAAAAATCTGCGCAGTAAACGCAAATGCTCTTATTTATATCATTATTAATTTGATTTTACCACTGATGGCCCAATTTCGGCCCAATGTCTGTTGTTCTGCTTCGGCAAATCTTTGTTGGACCATTAATGGTTTTTTTGCGGCTACCCAGCTCAAGCAATTTTATAAAACCTTGGCAATGGCCCCGTTACGGCTTCCCAGAACTGGCAATACAAGAAATAAACTTTATCGGGCCTTTCAAGAATTAGCTGGCATTGGCTAGCCATTATCAGACCAGTATATACTTGCTGTCTGGGTTGTTGCTTGTAATATTTCAGTATTATTAGATTAGAATCTATTTTTGAAATTCTGGCAGTTAAGTGAAATTCAACTAAACTTCCCACAGGTCAAAAATAAAGCCTTTGGTTTGGAAATAATAAATAAACCTATTAAAGTCTTTGGTTAATTAAAAAACACCAAAACATATGATTTGGTCTTTCCAACTAGTACAACAAAACACTGAATTTCTGCCATTTTTTTTAGAAGAAACTGAATATGAGAAAGAAATTAAAACACATGTGCTTTACTATTGAGTCCCTAGTACACAGAGGGGGGGGGGACATTTATTAATTTTTGTAAAAATGTCTCATCAACCCCTACCTTATTTAGATCCCCCCGTTTACTTATTTTTAATTGCTATCTAAAAAAAAAGAAGGTGAAAATAAGCCTTAAAAATTAAAAAAATATTTATTACAGTCACTAATAAAGACAAAAAATTTCAGTATAAACAGGCTTTAAAAATCACCAAGCAAATCCCCGATTTATCGAAAATGAGCTTTTAATTTATTTCTCGCCAAAGTATATTTATTTCTTTATTTCATACTCGCCAAAGTATATTTACATCTTTATTTATTTCATTAAAGTATATTTATTTCTCGCCAAACTTATTAAATCCTATTGAAATTATTAAAAATCATCTGTTAGAAAATGCGCATTTGACCGCAAGCCACACTAAATTTAAATATTTTTGTTCATGTTTTATAAAAAATATTATTTGGATTTATAAACCAAAATTTTTTTAAAGAATACTTATATTGTAACATAAAAAAATTCCCCCTCCTCCTTTTATTAAAACCCTTTCGTTTATTAAAGATAGACTAAAATTTCCCCCCCCCCCCCCATTTTTATTGCCACCCCCTTGAGTTAAGGAGAGTATAACACATCAAATTTGCAACCCCCTCAAATTGAGGGGGTATAAACTTTATATGGTCATGATTTTTGAACGCTAAAATATTTTACTATGAAATTTAAAATTTATCGATAAATATAAGTCTAGTTGAAAATAGTACAAAAAATATTTCATCAACTTGTTGCTTACACGTTTGAGGCGAGGGCGGCAAAAATTTTTGGGCTTTTTTGTTCCCAGGCTCCAATCAATGCAATTTTTTGCAAAGCATCCTTATTTGACGTAAATATAAACATATAAATGTTTGGAGTTCGCTCCATATTTGGAAGTTAGCAATCTCAAAGACCAAAAAATGCAGGATCTGCCCCTGTATAGAGACAAAATCTTTTAATACTTGAATAAGATTTAAACTATAAAAAGTATCATTATTACTTGCTTGCACAATCGTGTAATTAAAAAAGTTATATTAAAAACATGTCTTGTTATACACAGTGCAACAATAAAATCAAAATTTTTTATTAACTTCAGTAGAAGAGGCAGTAGCAAAGGCTGCACCATTAATGACATTCTTTGAGACAGAAAACTACAGGTATAAAAAACTTTTGTATAGTAATCCATGCCACAATTTCCCATTTCATAATATTCAAAGAAAAATCAGTTATAACTTTTATTAAAATACTAAATAAACAGGTTTTGTCTTTATGTGGTTCATCATAGTTCCTATTACGATTATCATGGTTCTCATTAAGGATAAACAATATTAATTAAAATTTATACTTAATAAGTCTATAATCTTCTTCTTAATTATCAAATAAAACCAAGGAATATATACTAGTTTTTATCAATGCAGCTATAAACAGCTTCTATTTTTAATAACTCTCTGTCTACCTATCTTCTATTTTTTTATTATAATTATTATTTTTTTCATATATACATTTTCGTCGTAATAATAATAAATTATTTACAATATATTCTGTGTGAGTTAAGATATAACAGGAGCAGGCAGAAGACAAAAGTCTCATCATCCAGCCCCGTTGTATATATATATATATATATATATATATATATATATATATATATATATATATATATATATATATATATATATATATATATATATATATATATATATATATATATATTATATATATATATATATATATATATATATATATATATATATATATATATATATATATATATATATATATATATATATATATATATATATATATATATATATATATATATATATTACAATCTCAGTAAGATAATATTAAATACTTTTAAATAAAGAAGTGTTACATTTTTTTTTTCTTTCGAACACAATACAAATATAAAGATAAGTAATGATGTAGTAGAGTTATGTCGCTTTTAAACAAAAGAAAAAGTTAAAAAAATAATAATAATAAAAGAGAATAAAATAAAGATTAAAAATAAAATAGTACTTGAGATGCGTCATAATCAAGTAACTGTTTTTTTTAAGATACGTCATAATCAAAGAACTGTTTTTAAAAGAACAATCTCCATCCAAACTTTTAAAAGTTTTTTTTAAAAAACTTTTAAAAGTTTGGATGGAGATTGTAGTTTTATTATTATTTGGGAGAAATGAGTTCCATAAATGTGGCCCTCGGTAAGTTATTGAAAATTCAGATTGTTTTAAGAAAGTTTTTGGTACCTGATAATTAAGCAATGAATGTTTTGTTGATATTTATGATCTATAATAAAGAAAAGGTCTTCAAAAATATTAGGTAGCATATGATATTTTAATCTAAACATGAATAAAAGAATATTAAAAATATTTAATTGGTAAACATTCAGCACTCCACTCTCAGCACTCCAAGCTTACGAAGTAGTGGATTGGCACTGGTGTATTTATTAGCATTTAATAAAAGGCGGGTGCTTGTTTTTGTTTTTTTAAGATACAAGTTAGTCTTGACGGATAAGTGCTTGCCCTAGCAATGTTACAATAACTAATATAGCTATGAATAAATGAGAAGTAAATAGATTTTAAACAGTTTTTATCCAACATATATCTAGTTTTATACATGATTCCAATACTTTTTGAAATTTTGATTAACTTACTCTTTCCAATTTATTTGCTCATCGCTTAAAACGCCTATGAATTTAAAACAGTATGTCCGTTGCAACTTGGATTTTTCTATCAAAATATCTTAGAGTTTTAAAGGCAACGTGTCAGATTTAGAAGATTTAGAAAAGAGAGTATATTTGCTTTTGGTAGGGTTCAGAGAGAGTTTGTTGGCTTTAAACCATTCATTAAGTTTATCAAGTTCACAATTCATAGTGGTGAAGATTTTCTTAATGTTAGAGTGAGTATAAAAAACTTGAGTGTTGTCAGCAAAAAGATTAAAGTTTAGTATACTAGATGAAAAGTAAATATCGTTGATATAAATAATAAACAACAAAGGCCCTAGAATAGATCCCAGTGGAATTCCGCATGAAATGTTTTCTAATTTAGTGTAGGTTTTGTCATAAGATATACATTGTTTGCAATTTTTAAGGTTGTAAAGGTTGTTTTCAAGTTTGTAAAGGTTGTTTTGAAACCCATTTAATATTTCATTAACTAATTTAATTACTGCGTGTTCTGTCAAGTGTCCTTTTCTGAATCCGTACTGATTGTTATTTAGAACTTTGTGAGTTGAAAGATAGTTGTAAAGCCTATTATGATTATTCGCTCTAGAGTTTTAGAAAAACATGGGAGTATTAAAATAGGTATGTAATTTGATAATTTTGAGATATCACCATCTTTAAATATTGGAACTACTCTAGCTAGTTTCAAAAGATCAGAAAAAACTCCATTCTATGCAAAGGATATCGTGATATCAAAAACTCTTAACAATTAATATAATATTTGGTCGCCTAACCTTAAAGGAAATGATGGTTTTCTTTAACATACTAACTTTTTCTTTATAATGCGATATGAACTTGTGAATTTAGCGACATTTAGAACTAATCATCGGTCATGTTATATGTTTAATAAAATTAATTAAATTAATAAAACACAAATTAAGCAGGGTGTATAGGAAAAAGGAAGTCCGAATTTTATTTTCCATATTTGAAATCTTTTCTCTCCTTATTTATTAATTAAAATGCAAGTTATTAAAATGATACACAGACTAGTGTAATAAAACTGGGGATGTCCATTGATATATTTTGATATATATTTGTTGTTACTAACTGATTTTACCTCCTAGTGATAGTTAAACGATAAAATTTTGAAAAAATTCTACTCAGGGTGTATGTCAAAAAGGAAGTCCAAAGTTTATTCTTTATTAATTATTTAAACCAATGAAAAAAAAAATAAAGTTCTATATAACAAAATAAAATAAGGTATGTCAATTCAAGTTTCTAATTAAGTTATTTAACTCAAAAGTTAGTTTAACATCCATCAAAATATTGCAATTATTTTTTTTTAACAGTTGAAACCGTTATACTATTATGCTTTCCGGTTTTTATTTTTTTTCCAACCGTTTCAGATAATTAATCGTGCATAATTTGTTTAGTTTTTGCTGTAGTTTGGTTTTAATAGTTACATATAGTAAAATTTTTTTCAACAAAATAATAAAGTTGAAAAACTTTCATTTAATTTTTTTGGGTACGTCCAACGACGTAGCAGACATCCCCTAATCACGCCCCTGAAACCAAAAAAGCTGCTGTTTCTTCTGTAATACCCATGGGTATTCATGGGTAGTATAGGTAAATGATTGCAATTAATTAGTTTGAAACAAACAGCTGCCAACTATTGGAAATATTCTAAGATCTATTAAGTTTCTAAAATCTCCCTGGTAGAAAAATCAAATTTTAATTTATTTATAAATGCATTGTAAAGATTATAATTTTATGAAACTCATATTCTATCCAATCTCCTTTCTCCATCCCAACTTCTTTTTCAAAACTTTATTATCAATGGATCAAGTGCTTGGGATAAGACATTGACGCTCCATAATAAGTGCACTTACATGCATCGTCTCAAATCAATACATCCATCGTCTCAAATCAATACATCCATCGTCTCAAACCAATACATTTATCGTCTCAAATCAATACATGCACCGTCTCAAATTAATACATGCATTGTCTCAAATCAATTGGAAATTCAGTAATTGCAACTTTTGCGAGAGACATCATAACATAACATCAAATTTAACGTTTTTCAAGGAGAATATCTTTTTTTTTTGATATTGTTAAATTTTGAAAAGAAAGTCCTTCAAGATCGCTTTCAAGAAGAATAATCAGTTTTTTATGAAAATGTGAATATTGCTGAATAGCTGGTCCAATCATTTAAGAAGTCAGCAGAAAAATTTGTATATTGCAGAATAGTTGGTCCAATCATTTAAGAAGTCAGTGGAAAATAAGTACATTCGGTTTATGAGGATGGAAAAAGAAACATGTAAAGGAGAAATGACAATAAGTGTAATAAAATCTTGAAGGTGTTTTTCATTAATTTGGAGCTGAATCTGTAACTAAAGTAAGGTTAGATTCTTCAGATGATGAAGATTTATCTGATAGATTCAGTTGTTCTAATAAATCTAAGATAATGTATTGCTGAAAAGCTATGAAAATTATACTGAAAATCCGTTTGGCTGTTCTACTTTGGTTTTTGCGTGATAAAGAGTACGTAAACGCCAACAAACATTATTATAAGCTGCAATAAACAATAAAACTAGTATGAATCTAGAAAATAATAGTCCATTAAAAAGTAAATAGAAAAGTCAATAGTAAGAGATTTACGAAGATTAAGATATCAGGAGACAACCTCGGGCAAAAAGTTATAACTACCCTGAAGTTAAATAAGCTCTGCGTTCGTTTTGATGGAAAGTGGATGAAACAGGTTGAAGAAGATTTAAACATATATGTTTCTGTAGAAAAAATAGCTAGTGTTTTATAGCCTTATATGTATGATAGTGATGGCATACGGCTTGGAATTAATCAGTCAGCAAGCTTTAAAGGTAATGACTTGGCTAAACCAATTTTAAATCTGCTAGAATACTTTAACATTGTAGATCAATATTTGCTGTTTGTTGCAATACAAAGGTGTCTAATGGCGGAATACACTCTGGAGCATTTTGTTATTTTTAGCTCCGTTTTCAACATTCTACTCCTATTGTTTCAATGCAGAACATATATGCCAGAAGTACACATCACTCGCTTAATGGAGGCTTCGGCTACAGAGAAGATAAAGTGACAAAGGAAAAACATATATGTCAAATTCTAGAAATCTTGGGACTCAGTCAAGGAAGAGGTGGACAAAGATTAAAAAATCTAAACTACCAATTCTATTTAAGGCCACTGAGCTTTTAGATCTGGTACATCCAAAAAGTTAAATCCTGTTGAAAATATCAGTTGCAACTGATGGTAATTTTTTTAAATTTGATTGATGGTTAGTAAAATAAAGATTGATTGAAAAAAAGTAACTAACTTCAAATTTTTTAAAATAATATTTAGAAAATTAATAAATATAAATAAATAAACTGCACATTTTACATATTTTACTGTATATACAATATACTTTACATAACATAATATTTTAATAAAATATAACGATATAAAAACTTTGTTTGAGCATAACTAAAGATCAATAAACTTTTATCTAAGGTTTTTTCACAATTTGTGTTTTATGTTAGAAGAATTTAGTTTCAAAACAAATATCTTTTTTAGTTATTTTATTGTTAAAATTATTTTAATAGGATTTTTTTTTTTCTAATAAATAATTAAATGATTTGTAAGAAATGTAGTAAATTGAATTTTTTTAAAAACTAGTTAAACCTAAACAACATATATACTTATAACATAAAATCTTCAAACGATTTGTTGGTCTCGCGTTATTGTTTTTCTCTTGTTTTTCTCAGGTCAAAAGTTGTCAAAATACTTTAACATTTTTATTCCCATTATGAAAATTTTATTTTTGTTTTTTCTTTTTTTATAAAGAGAAAAATAATCGTTATTGGCAATTGCCAAATGTACAAGTTAAAAATGTTATAAAAATAATTACAAGAATAATGATTGTGATAATCGAGATGTAGTACTTTCTCCATCTTTTCTGAATTTGTCGGGAAGAAGATACACTTGTCGGAGCTGGCGGCACTGGTGCTAAATCCTAAATAACAGTATAAATTATGTTACAACAAAATTATATAACATTATAAGATATATTAAACATGTAAAGACGTAATAACATGAATGTCAGGAAAAAAAACTACTAAGTAATTAATATTTTTTAGTTTTTAAGTACGGTTAATAAAAAATACTGTTTAACGATTTGTATTCACAGTGATAATTTGATAAAAATTAAAAAAAAAAAAATTTAATTTCTAGACCACCAGAAAAAACCATATGAACGTATTAGGATTATTTAAAATTCTTTTAATTTTAATTCATTTAAAATTTAATTTTAATTAATTTAATAATTTTTCAATACACAAGTATATAATATATAAAAATTCAATGAATGAGGAAAACGTTGTTTTGAATTTTTGAACATACATATCATGAGTTTAATTTTTCTTACCTATTCATTCTACTTTCCAAAAACCGTCTCATACCTACCAGTCAACAACCGTCTTGTTCCTACCAATCAACCTATTTGTTTCTTGTATTTTCCCATTAACCCATATAATATGCCCAATATATCAATACATCAGCCCAATAAACTTTAAACCATTTTTTGAGTGAATCTAGGTGATTTTCACACCAAGGTATTTTAAATATATTTTAAACCATTTGTTAAATGGACCTTGCCATTGATTGATTGATTGATATTTATTAGAACAAAGTATAAATACATGTTCTAAAGGACACGAAGGCCCATACAAAGATGGACACTAACAACGTGCCCAAAGAAATTTAAAAATATCGCTACAATAAAAAAATAACAAAACTATAAAGAAACAAATAGTTGTTCCTTTTACAATAGATATTTGTTAAAGTCGAAAGATGGAATTTTATTTTTGAACGTTAAAATGTTATTTGCATTTACAGCTTCCGAGGTCATATTGTTTCACATGTCAACAGCTCGATAAGAAAAGCTATATTTTCTTAAATCCAAGCGACAAGATTGTTTGCTTATTTTATAATTATGACCCCGGGAGTGGCTGTTATTGTCAATCGCAAAGAACACGAAAGTTCACGAAAAATTTTAAAGTTACTAAATCGTTTTTAAGGCGCCGAACTTCGAGTGATTCGATACCAAGCAACTGTAATCTATTATGATAGGAAAGATTTCTGGGGCTCCTTATTTTTTTTGTAAATTTTCCTTGGACACTTTCAACTGATTTAATCAATCCAATTTGGTGTGGTGACCATACTGGAGAACAATATTCTAAAATTGGTCGTATATAGGTAGTGAAAGCTCTAGCTAGGATACAAGGGTCACGTGTTTTAAAACATTTCAAAATTAAGTATGCTCTAGAGTTAGAGGTACCACCATTATCGCTATGGAAAAAACTATTCCTAAAATAATCTCCGTCATGACGTACCACCATTACCACTATGCAAAAAACTATTCCTAAAATAATCTCCGTCATGACGTACCACCATTACCACTATGCAAAAAACTATTCCTAAAATAATCTCCATCATGACGTACCACCATTACCACTTCATGTTTATTAACATTTATTCAAGATCATTGCGTTTTAAATTACTTTAACAATGTTTCAAAAAACTTTTTGAATTAAAAGTCGTTTTATTGCATAATGATAATAATAGATAAAGATGATAAATATCAATAAAAACAACAATAACAATAATAAATGTAATTATTATTGTTTTAGTTTCATCTAATTTTTTTTTATATTGTTGCTTTAAGAATAGTTACTTTAACCCATTCACAATACTTGGCCCTGGTCTCCTTACATAATTGATACCTGATCCATGATAGTCTTTCAAATGTTGCACTTACAAAAGTAGCAACCAATAGTTTTGCGTATAGTTTTATTCAATTTGCTTAAAAAATTTAGTTTCAAGTATAATTTTTGATATACGTTGGTTATTTAAGAATAGCAAAAACATTTTACAGTCTTTTTTTCTTTTCTTAAAAATTAGCAAAAACCTTTACCATATTAGGAAAATAATTTAACAATAAAATTCATTGCAAAAAACGTTTTTTAAAACATTCAGTTATAAAAAAGGCCTTTCGAAACATTCACTTTCGAAAAATATTCGAAAATTAAAATTTTGCTTTTCAAATAAAAAAATCTAACATTTTTACCTAATCATTTTGTTTTTTTTATTATATACAAAAATAAAAAGTTTTTTAATAAAATGACAAAGTAAAACTTTAAATTCAAAATGACAAAGTAAAACTTTATCTAAAAAATTTATATTTTTAATAAATAAAAATAACAAACGACAACCAAAAAGCAAAAAAAAATCTAATAAATCTAAAAAAATCAAAATTGAAAAATAAAAAACTTAACCATTTAAAAAAATTAAAGATCAAATATCGGTCTTCAATAAATTACGTCATGTAATTTTCGCCTTACCCCCCTTCCTCCCCCATCCTTCACACTTTTAGGCTTGCTTTTAAACCATTTTTGTAATTATTTTTTACTGGTTAGGTACGGCTATATTCCTTTGGTCCAGACACCAATATATATTTAAACCGGTCTTGAATACATTTAAATATCATATAAATTGATCATATAAATTGATCATATAAATTGATCATATAAATATCATATAAATATCATATAAATTGAATACATTTAAATATCATATAAATATGAATACATTTATAGAAAGCAATTGCTGAGCTGAAGGTATATATACTATTGAGACAGTGGAGCATTTCTATCAAATTGATTATGTTTTCACTCTCAACAAAAGAATAAAATACCAACAAAGGAAAAAATATTTGAAATAGTAATAACTAATATTTTAAGCACACAAATTTTTAAACACTATTTTAAAAACATCAATTCTCATTGCTTATTTCTAATTTATGAGTCATTGTTGTTTAATCATTTGATTATTTTTGCATATGTTTTCCAGGATATAGATCATTGGGCGGTGACAGTTTGGCAAACAAAGAAATGAAATACATGTATGCCCTTAGTACAGTCTAACATCACAAAAGCATCAATAACAATATTTATTTCATAGTGGAATGCGATAGCATTTAGCAGTTTACTTTTTCAGCAGCTTCTAAAATATTCAATTCATTTGCAATTTCAATTCCCGTGATGTTTCCAAAATTATTTTTATTTACGACATATATTTTGCTTTTGGTTGTTTTGCTTTTGTTTTAATTTCAGCCTTAAAACAACCAATTCATAGAAGGATGCCTAAAGGTGGGAAGGGGGGGGGTGTTAATGTTTTAGTTATTACATTTATGGAATTTTTTAAATAAGATTGTTCTCTCTGTTTTAAACTAAATGTCAAGGCAAGCACTTCCTAGTATGAATGTATTTTTGTACTCATCATTTATGTGCAGTATATTCAGGGCTGCCGAGAGCTCTCATGCCGCTTGGGACAGCAAGATTAGCGCACTTATTTATCACTTATTTATTAGATTTCAAATACCTTTTTTAAAAACAATTTAAAAGTTTAAACTAAATCACTTAAAAATAAATTAAATCTTTATCACTTTCTTTGGCTTTTATTAAAATGGTTTCAAACCATTAGTATAAAAAATAACTATTTTTGATGATATTAAATAATCAGCCCAAATACTTATGGTTACATATATTGCTTCTTTTTTTTTTTAATTAAACTACGCATTTTTTTTTGTGTGTGTGTTTTTGTAACTTTCATGATTTTCTGTCGTTTTTACTTTTTTATTTTATTTAAAAATATTCTGCTGGAAGATTGTTAGCAACAAATTATTTTATTGCTGAAGTATTTGATTTGTTTTTGTTTTTGTATTTAAACTGTCTTTTTGTCTTTTATCATTCATTGTGCATGCAAATTTTTGTGTGACGGGGCTCGGTGATAAGACAACCTGTTTTCTTCTTGCTCCGGCCAGGATTTTCTTTTATTGTAATTTCTTTTTGTAATATTTATCAACGGCAAAATAAATAAATAAATAAAAAATAAAAAATAAAAAATTATCAAATTTTCCCTATATTATATATAAAGAAAATTTGATAAATAAGAATATGAAGAACTTTTTTTTTTTTTTTAGGTACCTACATAATATTTGGAGCTCCTTGGATAACTGTTCCGGTAGTTACCCCCCCCCTCTCTCAGCGGCCCTGAGTATATGTTGGATAGTTATACAATATATTCTGCCTTTTTTTTAACTCAATTTTTCAAAATACTTTAACTTAAAACTAAATAAACTTACTAGTTGACTATTTAGCTGCTTTCCAGTAACCAACTCATATTTGGGAGGTTCATCATAGAGAAACTCTCTAGATAAACTTAAGTATGTTGGCAATTGTTTTCTCCGTAATTTTTCAGTGGAACTTTTTAATTCAGTTAATGTAACTAATTTTTCATAAGACGGTAAGTGGTCTTCAGCGGTTGGTTTTTGTTCATCGTCGTTTGTTTTAACGAAACAAGAAGTAGCATTAACCTCTTTAGATAATGGTAAGTTATCACAATCAAAATTAATGCCAAATGTATTCATATGTATTTCATTGCAGTCCTGAAGCTGTGAATTTTCAATATTTTCTGGATACATTTCATTGAAGTCACAATCTTGAAGCCGAGTAATGTCTTTGTTTTCTTGATGTGTTTTATCGCAATTGTAGTCTTGATGCCCAGCATTGTCTTTGTTTTCTATATAACAAAACGAATTTGATACTGAATCATTCTGATCATGATTTGATGAAGTGCAGTTTTGATCTTGATATAAAGAAAGTATAAGGTCATGGTTAGATGAAATGTTGGTGTTTGCGGTACTTGAATATTCCTCGTTTGCGTTTCTAATATTTTCTGCGTTTTCCGATGTGCTAAGAATTTTTTTTTTTGAATCTTGTTCGTCTTTGTTAAAGATTACGCTGCTAGCTTGCAATGAAACATTAAATGAACTAATATTTTCACTGGGTTCGGTTAAAAACAGAGTTTCTTCTGCAAAATATGAATTAATCATTATATATAATAAGTGGTATTAGTTTTTTTGTTGTTGTTTATTTTAATGTAATAAATTTCAGTCATTAAATGTCACGTTGTCTTCAAAGTGTTGTTTTGCCAAAAAAACAAAACAAAAAAACTTTATAATATTATATAATTACTGCATTGAACACATTGAAAAGCATTTATTAGACAAATAATTCAAAACATCAGAGTATGACTAATTGTTAAACGCATATCCAATATGTTTTGTCGATTGTATTGTTGAATACTTTTGTGTTTTTTCAAATGTATTAACTTCCTAATATATATATATAAATATTATTACGCTTTGAGATTAAATATATAAATGTTAAACATGTTGGTGGATTTTTAATAAAAAAAAATAAAAGTTTGGAAATAAGCTAATTTTAATTTTTTTTAAATATAATTATAACTATTAATAAAAGTGAAAAGTAGTTAAATAAAGAAATCAAAAGTATATTTTTACCTTAATTAAGGTCTCCTCACAAGATCTCCTCACCAGGTCTCCTTACCAACCAATCGATTTTGATACAAAATTAGTGAATATGTAATTTGAATGTCTCAAGAAAAATACGTAAGATTTTAATTCATTTTTTTATTTTAGTTTAAAAACAAGCAATAAAAAAAAACAAATATTTATATACACACAAACAAAAAAGCACATATTTTTATAGTAACATTTGTTAAAATGAATTATTTTTTGAGAATAAGATAAAAAAAACTTTTTTTTGCCAAAGAAAATTTTTATTCAAAGAAACAGATTTGATATTTATTTGTTATCAAAAAACTCTTGTAAGAACAACAAATAGATGCGAGTGCCTTATTTGCAAAATTATTTAGTTAAAAATAAAATTCGCAGCATCCGATCTTTGTTACCATCATCTAAGCAACAAACATCAAGAGTTGTATTGTGCTGCTTCAAGAACTTTGTGTTGCACTGAAAGATTTCGTTGTCCACATTCAATGCAAATAAACTATATCTACCCGGTGGAAAAAAGATTGCTTGATGACAAAAGACGTGTTTAAAACGTCTAAACGTATCACGCATTACTACGTATTTTATACGTCTTAAACGCGTCTTTTATATTAGTGGCGACTAGCTAGGTTATCGCTGGCTAGTCGCTAGCTCATTTTCCACCGGGTATCTGACATAAAAAGGTGCATATAGTGTTTTTTAATTATTGTTTCAGATCACATGTATTTTAACACACTAGTAACAAGGCAGAAACTTACATTCGTTAGTGAAAGATGACATTAAAAAAGCTGTCCGACTTGCAATATCTGTTATTACTAACAAAGAAGCTTTTCATCATAAAGACAATAGCATAATATAAATGTATAAAAATGTATTTCTATATTATTCCAAATGTAATATTTTACTATATCTGATATATTTTTGCATCTTTTTATATGTTTCAGTAAATATGAAGTTATTGAGTTATTTCACATTTTGTAGTTTTATTAAAAAGAGATAAAAAGTTTGATTGAAATTACTTATACGTCATAAATACGTCATAGGAAGCTCGCAGAAGACTCGCAGAAGTATCTTTATATTAGATGTATCGTACACAAGTCTGTTCACTTTGTAATTGATGCAAATATAATTTTTAATTATTTTTTATTATTAATTGATGTAAAAAATTTTTGTAAAAGTTATTGTTATTTTTTCTGTTGCTGTTGTTGATTTTTTAATGTTTTTTTTTAATGAATAATTTTTAAAAACTTTGATAGGAAGATTATTTTTTCTTTTAAATATCGATCAGATTTTCAAATACTCATGCATTGAGGATACACACAATTAAGTTAACATGTCGATTTTGATTGTTGTTTTACTTCTTTTTAGCATAAGTTCTTGACAACGAGAATGAACTTTAATATAATTCCGTAAAACCTAAAGCTTAGTTTGATAATATTTTATTCTTAAAGAAAAAAAGGAGATAAAACTCTCAATATATAATTACACCTCATTTAAAAATGCAATTAAAGAAACCATTCGTTTGTTTTTTGTGAGTTTTTTGTTTGTACGATTCATGATGGTTCCATGATGAGTTTTGCGGAGAAATAGTTCAAAGTCCTTTACTTAAAGTAAAAATCTTTTACCGCTAATTCAAATTTTTTTAAGAGGGTAAAAAATGTTTTATTCTGTTTTATTGTTGTTTATAGAAACACTGTAACTATTTAACCAATCACACAAGCTATGGAGATTTGAATTAACCTTTTTATAGAGTTGTGACAGCGATATAATGGAAAGAAAATTGGTGTCTTTGGTGAAATGATGTACAATAGGTAATACAATGATGTACAATACATGAACGTCAATTAAACGTAAAAACAACGTCAATTAAACGTAAAAACAATAGCCAAAATGTTTAGTTATCAAAATGTTTTGGTCGATTATTTTTCATCAAAATTTTATATTAACAATCAGTCTTATCAAAGCTAGTTTTGAACGAATTCAGAAAAAAAGTAAAGTCTTAAATAAACCTCAATTAAACGTTACGATTTAAATGTACGACTCTATTAAAGGATTACTAAAGACAGAAAAAGCGTCTAGATTTGGCCAACGGTAGTAAAGCGTTTAGATTTAGCTTTATTAAACGCATATAAAGCAGTTAGATTTAGTCTAATTGAACGTATAGAAAAAAATAGTCTTATTATTAATGATATTATAATAATTGTGATCGTCTTATTATTAAAGAAAACCGAGAAAATTGACGTAAAAAAAATATAAGTTTACAAAAAAGTTTACAATAATCTCTTAAAGACCGCGTTAAAGTATGTAACATAAATTATCTTATAAGGACCCCCGTTGAAGTATGTAACAAAAAGACAACATAAAAATCAAATGTATTGAAAACTAGGGTGGTTCGCCCATTAAAAATATTTTTCAGATGATTTTCAAACAAAATTTATTCATTTTTCTTATTGTGAAAAAATCTTTCAAAAATCGAATCTATTTTTTTTTTTATTAAAAAAACTTTTTTTCTATATATTATAAGCATAGCAACCCATATAGTAAAGTATTTATGACCAAAAAAATTGGTTCGCACATTCGATATTTAACTCATATAAACATTGCTGTGTTTAAAAAGCTTAAAGTAATGAAAATCATGCTTAAGGAAGAATGGTGCACCATAATACATGGGCCACCATGAAACTTTATAATTGTTGAGGCATCTTAACTGTTGCAACAACCACTTTCATATGGTGAAGCGTTTACTACTAGAGCTACAAGTTGACAAAAAAAGTTTTTTTTTTTTGCTGATGTTTTTAGACTGCAAGGGGTTGAATTTTGTGCAAGATTATCTTTTTAAACTAAAGTTGACAAAAGATGCAATCAACAAAAAAAGTATTAGAAATCGGCATTAAATCTATACTCAGCGAACAAAGAAATAAACTTACCAACGCGGGTAGATGTTGATGAAACGTAAAAAAAAAACGCGGGTAGATGTTGATGAAAAGTAAAAAAAAAACTGTAATCAACAACAAAAAATTGAAACTGATATTAAATCTATAGTATAGTTGTAACAAAATTTAATCTGCAGAATGATGCAAGCAAAAATTTAATCTGCAGAATGAAGCAAGCAAAAAATTTAATCTGCAGAATGAAGCAAGCAAAAAATTTAATCTGCAGAATGAAGCAAGCAAAAAATTTAATCTGCAGAATGAAGCAAGCAAAAAATTTAATCTGCAGAATGAAGCAAGCAAAAAATTTAATCTGCAGAATGAAGCAAGCAAAAAATTTAATCTGCAGAATGAAGCAAGCAAAAAATTTAATCTGCAGAATGAAGCAAGCAAAAAATTTAATCTGCAGAATGAAGCAAGCAAAAAATTTAATCTGCAGAATGAAGCAAGCAAAAAATTTAATCTGCAGAATGAAGCAAGCAAAAAATTTAATCTGCAGAATGAAGCAAGCAAAAAATTTAATCTGCAGAATGAAGCTTAAAAAAAAATCTGCAGAGTCAAGCTTAAAAATGGGATTAAATCTACACATTGCAAAAAAAGAATTGATAATTAAACTTACCAACTGTGACACATGTAGATAGAACTAAAAACGAAAAGGATATTATCCAAAAAAAATGACATTGGCAATAAAACTTTCACAAATTAAAAAATATTAGTTTTTAAGTTTACTAACCACAGTCATTAAAGAAATGACTTGAGATTAAAACTATATGAGTTAAACCAAAACATACATCTTTAAATGCCTTCTTTTAAAATAACTGAAAATTACAATATACAAACTATGCGCTTTTCACCGGTATGCCTTTAGTGTTGCATATAGTCACATGATGTCATTGTTTCTGGTATGAATGGTTTTCAAATATTAGAGATGTTAGCACAAAAATTTAATTCTAAATCTCTTGAAGTTGCTCTTGAGAAAATCTCTTCAGAAAAGGAAAAAGACATCTGAAAACAAGTTATTGAGCTAATTATAGTGTCAATCACTCAAACATTTCTTTTCATAACTCAAAATATGCTTTGTCAGATCTATCTGAAAAAAATCTTCAATCCAACACAGAGATATCTTCAATCCAAGACAGAGATATCTTCAATCCAACACAGAGATCTCGTATATTACAATTATTATGAGATGTAGAGTTAGTGAGACATAATTGTAATTAACCACATTGATTAAAAGATCAATCTGGCAAAAATAGTGCAGCTGCAAAGATAATCTGAAGGAGATACTGGTAATAATCTTTTGACAATAGAAGACATACACCAGACAATGCATAATAGTTTTGCTGTAAAAGATTAAGAACATTATTAATTATTACTCACTTGAATTTGGTAAAAAAGTATTAAGGTATGGCGTCATTTCTATATTATATTAATATTTCTATATTCTTATTCAATTCCCGATATATTCTATATATCGGGAATTGCATAAGAATATAGAAATATTAAAACTCAACTCTCAATTTTGCCAGAATATCAGTTGTGCCGGGATAGCATTATTGGCCGAAGCAGCAGGGTTGAAAGTTCAAATCTCGGCTCCGCATACTCAACATATAAGTAATATTACAGTACGAAGAGAACTCCTTTCAATTAGCTCTGTTAACTAGAAGGTCTAATGCTATTTTCCTAATTGTCTAGCAATGTTTTTGTGGAAGAGAAACTACCATATTGCATGAACATTTTTGTTTTGCAAGATTTGGCGTTACCATTTTGAAGTTCTTTAAGAATTTAAAGTTAACAGAAAAAACATTCATTCGTGGAGAAGAATTAATATAATGAGCTCTAATCAAATTCATATTTAGCTTAGAAAAAAACTTCTGCCTGATCAATATGTAATTAGCCGACAGATAGATTTTTATTTTCAAGGTAGGCATTGTTTTTTATTAGATACATTTACAATTAAGCTTTCAAACATTATGTAATTAATTAATGTTTCAGTAAAAACTTTAATTTTGTTAGAAGTTTTTCAAAGGTTTAAAATGATATGCAATATTTTTGTAGGGTTAGTAACATAAAAAGAAAAGATAAATTGATGGAACTGACATTAGAAAATAATAAAAACAGTCAGGTTAAGGATAGCAAAGAGGTTTATGGTTAAAACGATAACTTTTATCAGGTAGACAACAATAAAGATAGTAATCATTTTTTGTATGTTGTATATGAAAAACAATCGAATACTGGATATAATGTGGAGGTAATAACATTTGAAACATTTAGTATTTTTCAAGTATTTGTTTTGTTTTAAAAAACAGTGTTCTAAATTTAACTCCAACAAAACTTAGTTATTTATTTTGGTATTAAGATGGCTTTCGGACGTGATTTCCAATGAAAATGGAAATTACTTATTTAATAACAAACAAATAATTGAATTTTCTTGTTAAAGTGCATTTATATCTTGGAACATTAAACAATTAATAATTATCAAAAAGAAAATAATGAAACAATCTTCATTTTAAATGAAAATAAAAATTTAAACAAAGAAATCAAGAAACTTATCGTCATTAATACAACATTACAAATTCAAAATCAAAATCTAAAAGAAGAGGAAGACATTATAAACAAAGAAAAAGAAGTATTACTGGAAATATACAGCTGAGTACAGCTGTACATTTCCAGTAATACATTTCCAGTAATACAGCTGAGTACAACTGTACATTTCCTGATACATTACTGGAAATGTACAGCTGAGTACAGCTGAAACAGAGTGGAAACAAAATGTACAGTTGAGACAGAGTGGAAACAAAATGTACAGCTGAGTACAGCTGAGACAGGGTGGAAACATGAAAAATGAAAAAAAGAAATATAATGAAGTATTATTAGAAAAAATGTTTCAAAGGATGAAAATGTTTCAAACGTGAGTACTAAAAAATTATTAAAGAAAATTTGGACCCTATACAATTTCAAATTCATATTAATTATA